TCCCGTGTTCCAGCAGAAACATGGCGGGACAATTAATCTTTTAAGGGATTTGAAGCAGGACATCAGCAAATGGGAAAGAGAAAGGAAGAGGTATGACTTAAGGGAAGAGGACGAGAGCGACACCTTCAGAGTGATGTGAATTATTTAGACTCACCGACAGCTATTTCAATTACAAAAGCTGAGCTCATCTCACCTCAACATATTTGGAAAAAAATGGTTTAGCTAGAAAATAAAAATAAAAATATATATATATAAAAATAAGAAGGCTATTAGTTGAAGAGCAAGCGATGAGTCTCTTAAGCTTATCTAGCAGTAAGGAGTCTTGCATAAAATAATGTTCTTTAACCCAACTACGGTAATGTGTGCATCTTTTTGGTATTTTTGTCAAGTTTATGTAATTAAAAATAGAAACGGTTCATAAAAGGATCACGGACAAATAAAAAGAGGATTCTTGAACACAAGGCTTAAGAGGGACTAAGGTTGTGACAGTTCAGCTAAAAAGAGAGCCTGAAGAGTCAAACTCACAAAAAATCTAGAACCGCAGTAAATCCTGAATCCCTTTGTGTTTTTTTATTATTCTCTTGAGAACACAGAGTGGCTGCCCGAGCATTTCCACAAAGCAAATGAGGCACAAAGTCGCCTCAGCAGTAATCCGTCTTCTCTTTCTTTAGCTTTAATTTAAAAACAAATGTGGCGCAGAAAAGGAAATTATTATTATTTTTAAGAAGTTAGGGAACAAAGGGAGACTACATCAGGTGGAGGAGTTCAAGTATCTGGGTGTCTTGTTCACAAGTGATAGTAGAATGGAGCGGGAGATGTGTTGATGAATTGGGGTCTCATCCTCAGTAATGAGGACGTTGCTTTGGTCAGTCGTGGTGAAGAAAGAGTTTAATCAAAAGGCAAAGCTCTCAATTTACTAGTCTGTCTACGTTCCAACCTTCATCTATAATCATGTCATGTCTATGATCATCTAACCTGTATAACCAAAGATTGAAAGAAAAATGAAAGTTGGATCGTGATTGAAAGAACAAGATCCTGGATGCAAGTGGCCGAAATGGGCTTCGTTTGCAGGGTGGCCAGCTCAGTCTTAGAGATAGGGGTGAAGTTCTGTCATCTGGGTGGAGCTCGGAGTAGAGTCGCTGCTCCTCTGCATTGAAGGCAGTCACTTGAGGTGGTTCAGGAATCTGATCAGGATGCCTCATGGACATGTCCCTCTGGTAGGAGGCCCCGGGGAAGACCCATAAGTCACTGGAGGAATTGTGTTTCTTCTCTGGCCTGGGAACGCCTTGGGGTCCCCCAAAACGAGCTGGAAGGTGTCTCTGGGGAGAGGGATGTCTGGGTTTCTCTTCTGGACCTGTTGCTGCCACAACCTGACTACGGAAGGATGATAGGGAACATTTTTTTCTGCACCAGAAAATTATCTCATAAACCACTGGAAAGACTTTAATGAAATTTGTGGAAAATAATAATTGGATTTACATCTAGAAATAATTAGCTGTTGGAGTTGGACAAATTCAAGATGGCTGCCACAGTTAAGGAACATTAGCAAACATAAAAATTGTATATTTCAGCTAATTTTACAGATTTTGAGGTAAGACTTTGTGTGGTAGTAGCTAAGAGTCATTCCCAACATGAACCTCTGGATGCTGGTGTGAGAGCTGGTCTTAAAACTAACTATTGGAGTCAACTTTGAATTTCTGTTAGCAATATTTCTCATTTACCACTGGATGGATTTTAGCATAACCCTCAGAAAGTAATAAATTAATCAACATCTGCAACGGATTACTTTTGTGAATGTACCCAATTCAAGATGCCTGCCATGGCCAACAATCTATAGAAAACATAAAAATGGCTATAATTCAGCTAATTTTACCAATAGTGAGCTGAATTTGTTGTGATAATAGCTGAGAGTCATCCTGAACACATTCTCTGAGCACAGACATCGCTCACAATATTGCGTGATTCATAAGGTCTGACCAAAACATCTGGATCTCCATCTCTTCTCAGCATCAGACCATTAGTTTAAGTTTCTGGCACGCAAGGCAGCAAGCGATGAATTTATCAAGAAATTTGACGGATTTTAAGCTACAAGACAAAAACAAAACACAAAATCTGACCGGAACAGGACATAGTCAGAACTGATAAAACATTACAGACACACTTGAGCATCCTCATTAGTGTCAGATGCTTCATCGTTTCACCCCTGGAAAGGTCAACTCAATGATGATAGAATCAGTGCGGCGTTAAAACTCATTCTTCAGTCAGCTTCCCTCTGGGAAAAACACAACACATCCTGTGTGTGTGTATACCAGTATATATATATATATATATATACACACACATATATATACTGTATATTAAGAAGAATCTTTAACGACCGGCGTCACTCCCCCAGCGCCTGCATGGCCCATGCTACAATCATCCTACTCAAACATTTATTAGCGTGTGGTAATATACACACGGTTAATGAGGCACACATGAAAATCCACTTAAGTCTCTACATTAGAAAATGCACTGAAGCTTATCACAAGTTGCTTCGTTTAATATGGATTAGGTGCATAAACTGCTCCGAGAGTAAATATTTACTGAAGCTGCGACGGGAATGCTTCCAAAGACTCAACATAAATAAATCAAGTTTTATTTTCTCTCTTCCTGCACGCACTAATTTCTTTCAAAAATATTCATTCACTATGCGTGTTTTCTTTTTTTACTCAGTGCCCAAAAATAACCTCATTTATAAAGAAGTACTTCCCGTCATGTCAAAAGGTTTGTGTGCTGCTATTTACATGACACAGCTTATCTCATGGTTGTAATTCTTTAAAGGTTATGAGCTCACCTTGCCTATTTTTATCTCTTCCTACATTTTGTGAACACACCTGTAAACACACTAAACCCATCATAAATATTTATGATGGGTTCGCTCTCCCAGGCAAACAGAAGCAGTGAAGGCGACGACATTCAGCCGAGGGGGAAGTCTCCGCGCAACAAATCAAGGTCAGTGCTGTGTTTAAGCTGCAGTCTCTACTCCTGAGGGGAAACTTCACGTTCTGTATCTTAAAGAAAAAATGGAAAATACAATTTATAGCTTTTTTGGCACATTTTGCATATCCCTGGTTTAATCTTCTTTTTATATATTTTGAATAAATCGAGCAAAAACACATGCTTGGCTCAGCTTTCAAATAGGGAAGTAACAATCAAAGCGTTTAATTCAGAACATTAGCCTGGTGTTCTTTGTGGGATTCATTTCTTCTGCAAAAGTCTTTAAATTTTAAGCTAGGAAAAGCCTCAGAGATAAGAATGTTCCCCTGTGGGAAAGTCTTGTTTGTTTTTTCAACTTGTTAACAAGAATGAGGTCAAAGTGAGATTTCTAGGAGAAACCAAATCATTTCAGTCTGTGAAAACAAAAAGTAAAGAAAAACACTTACTGCTAAGACGAAACAAGCACAAAAATATTGAGTATTAAAATGAAAGCTTCCCGATTTGACTGAAAGAACAAAAAGCTTGTTTAAAAAAACGACGCAGGAGCCATGACCTGTTCTTCCAGAGAATCTCTCCAGGTCAAGGCATAAACACGTCAGCTCATTTCTAATTAATTCAATCTGTGAGAACAGAATTTGATAAAACTGGAAAAAGATTGGAGCATGTTGCATTAAGTTTTACATACCGTATTTTTCACCGTACAAGTTGCACCTTTTTGCATAAATTAGCAGGCCTGCGACTTATACGGTGAAGTGACTTATTTATGGTTTTTTTTTACCATATTTCTAAATCAATTTTTGGCTGAGATATGACAATTTCATTCAATCTGACATAGAAAATATTGAACACTACCATTTTCAGCCATTAGAGGATCCTCGACTAGTAAGGCAAGCCAAGTGTCTCATTAACAGGTAAAAGTGGCTATTAATGAGACACTTGGCTTGCCATACAAAGTCACCTTCATCTCGCTCCAGAACTCCTGGAGCAAACGTCAAATCAGCTGCATTTCACCGCGCCGCCCAGGAGAAATGCAGCTGATTTGACCATTAAAGTGTATTTATTAAGGAAAAGTTAGACTGAAACACTCCTTTACTATAAAGTCGAGCAAACAAATAATTGTTTTTAGGTGGTTATCTTCTTAAATTTTGAAGAAATGCACACAGAGTCCTCCCTCTGCGCACTCCCGCAGCCACGAATCGGCTTTTGAAATGCAGCTGATTTAACTGTCAAACTGCATTTATTAAGGAAAACTTCAACTGACACACCTTTGCTATAATTTCGAGCAAACAAATAATTGTTTTCAAGTGTTAATCTTGTTATATTCTTGTAAAGTACTCCTGTGCATGCTCCCGCGGCCGCCACTTGGCAGCCAATCGATTTTTGGCACAACACCAGTTCACATTTCTGGGTGGTCAGCGGTTAAGCATAACAGAAGCGACATATAGCAAAGAGACTTATTTATGTTTTTTTTCCACTTTAATAGACATATTTTGACTGATGTGACTTAAATGGCGGTGTGATGTGTACGGTGGAAAGTACAGTAACAATGTAGAGGATAGATAAAAGAAAACAAACTACAATCCATCCAAAGCTAAATCCTCTGACAAAGAGGATCTCAAATAGAGGAACATAATGCATCAGCTTAAAAACAATCTAAAAATGCCTTCTTCCTTTGTTTGGGAGAAGCAGGGATCATTCTGGAGAGGACGTGAAACCAAGTGGCCCATTAAATCCAGACAAATGAAAAGCGTACATGTATTGGAAGTGAACAGCCGCAGCTCTTTGTGTGTTTCCCAGAGGCTGCGACGGCCTCTATGATGACGAGGTGCATCACTTTATAATGAACTCCCCACAGCGCAATAATGGAGTATTATGGTTCCTTTTGTTTTAACAACGTGTCATTTGTGCTTAAGCTGTGTCTGGATGCTCAATCCAGTTTTACTTCAGGTTATAAACTCTCTTTGAAAATGCTGAGTGTGACCTGTGAGCTGAGATGAAGGAGTGTCCGAATAAACACTTACGAAGCTCGCCCACTTTCAGAATCTCACACAGCATCTTGGTCAGCTCGATGCTGCTGCGGCCGAACGGACACTCGTGCTTGTCTTCTCTGCTGCTGTTCTCCAGAACGATCTAGAAGCACACACGAAGAAATAAGCCAGGTGAAAAAAATTAAAATCACTGAAAAAGAGATTATCAGACTGTTTACTTGTTGCTTTTTTCTTTCTTCATCAGTTCTTGATAAATTGTCTTTTTAATCATACATAACAAAGATGTCTCTTTTCTCACTTTCAAGTCCAAAAATAGGACGTCAAAATCTATACAAACTCCACATACTGCAGGGGTGGTGCTTAAATAACTACTGTATGTGCTTTAAAAGAAATATTTTCAAAGTTTAAAGTTATGCTTCATGTATTTGTGTTAACTAGGAGACGAAAATCGTTCATTTTTACATAAAACACAAGAGAATATAACGATTTTCATAGTCTTAGCTGGCCAGCTTCAGATCCATTTTGACCAAAATACTGTAAATGAGCCAGAAAAAAAAGTGACTAAGCTGGAGAGATAACGGTTTGAGGAGAACTGGAGGTAATGAGCAGACACAATGCCATAGAAATAACCCTGAAGAGTGTGTGTGAGTGTGTGTTACGCTCACCCTGATGTAAGCGTCTTGGTGGTGCCTGGCAAAGTAGAGCATGTTATCCAGAGCCAACATGCCTGGAGGGATCTGGGTGAAATCCACAGCTGGATTCACATGATTCTGAGGAAAGAAGCACGGTGAAATGAAACCTCACACACAACCAAAATATATTCTTTAATCTTTATTCTAGGTCTAACTAATTGAATGTAAAAACAGTATCATTGTTTATTTTTAATCCATGCAAAGTCCAAGAACAATATGGATTAGCTACAATGCTCTAAATTATATATATATATATAATTAACAGAAAGTATACAAAAATTTCTGGTTGCAAGGAATGAACTTAAATGCTTTCCATGAAATAAATAAATACATAAAACATTTGCTAAAATTTGGCTTTCCAGCAGGATGCAATTTAAGAACTTAAAAAAAAGCATAATTGTTGGGGGCAGCTGTGGCTGAGTAGAGCAGTCATCCTCCACTGTGAGAGTTGGGTGTTCAAATCCATCAGCACTCGCATGCTCAAGTGTCTTTGAGCAAGACGCTGAACCCCTCATTGCCTCTGATGTGTGTCCTATCAGTGTATGAATGTGATCTAAAGCACTGATTAGTCTCTACAGATTATTATTTTTGTAGAGATGCAGTAGAGTGCTGTATGAATGCATGTGTGGAGGTAAATGAGGCACAGATTGTGTTGTAAAGCACTTTGTGTCTCGATTAGATAGAAAGGTGCTATACAAGTACAGTGCATTTACCATCATTATAAAAGACGTAGCATTTACTGAGGAGGAAAATGACTTGCTGCCCTTGGGTCAAAAATGATTCACAAGGCCTCAGTTCTAAAAATGAAGCAGCAGAAGGGTTAAAGGAAGACTGGAAACACTGAGAACTGTCTCATGGGACTTGTAAATGAACCTAACAGGAGAGAAATTAAAAGGCTTAAAACAGAAGAAAACTCACTCAGGATGATGTACTTCTTAAAGAACGTGTATATTTAACAATAAAGACATTAGTTTTACTTAACAGAAACATAAAAAAGCAAAAGGCTAATGCTCTAAGAAGTGATGGGGACTAGACGGGGCAGTCCAATTATCTTTACAGAAAAACACAATAGAGATTCTGTAGATTAAGTAACTCCAAGCTTAAACCAAGCCATACCAGGCCAAAGCAGATCTGAAGGTAAAGTTATAGCAGTAATTTATTTTATATTCAAACCTGAGGAGGCAGGACAATTAGAAAAAAAAGGTGGTTTGAAGACATTTTAAAAGCAATCATTTAACACTTTTGTTGCACTAGCTGTGTGGCCTTTACTAGCAGAACATTTCATACGGCCCTCTGAAAGCACGACTTACAATAAAACCAAGCTTTTTGTAGTCGCGGGTGTACATGGACTTCCGTTTCTCAATGCTGCCGCTGTTGTTTGGCTCGCACTCCACGTCAAAGGCAATTCTGCGCAGCTCAAAGATGATGTCCCTCTGAGCCTGCACACAGAAAATAATAATAAAGCCCACATGAATTTTCTTCTGTTCCTTTTTTATATAATTTAAGAATCCTTCAGCTTCGACGCTGTGTGCGATCAGACAGCGCCCGAGGAAAAGTGGCAAACAGCCAAAGTGAGGCACTATTTCTATTCCTGGGCCGAATCTGCATCAATTTACAACTTATTAATCTGAAACATATGATTAATTCTAAGAGCAGTATTCAGCTGAATGAATAGGAAAGTTATTTAAAATACAATTCTTCAGATGCCAATAAAAGTATCTATCGTAATTGCCGGTGTACAAGCCGCTACTTTTGTCTCACATTTTGAATCCCTTGGTTTATATATAGGAGTGTCTTGTTTGTATATTTTTTTCATAATTTTCGTATGTAAAATTTGTATATTTTATTTTGAAAGACTTCCTGCTATCTCTCGGTAGCTTCCTGCCCCTGACTAACATTTTCCTTTGATGGAGCTGGGCACTTGTGGCTCCCAGCGCTCCACCCACCCCTCATGGGGGCAGGTGTTAGTTACACAGAGAGAATGCCCTCAGGCAATCAGATGTACAAGGCCTTTTGCTCACAGTTTCAAATACCCAACCATAACTCCGCCCATTCTGTCATCATGTGACCAGAAGTCTAACCTGATTGATCAACAAGGTACTCTCAAGGACCATGCCCCAAGATGGACGTGAATTAATTTCTTCAGATCGTTCCAGTGTTGTTTATCGTATTTTGCGCTTCATGAACAGACCTGTTCATTTGTTCAGCGATAATGGAAAACGCACGGAGAATTTCTCATGACGCAGTTTTCATGTTAAAAGCAATCGGCTGTTTTGGAGGAAACAGCTGCAGCCCGTAAGCTGCATCAACGTGTCTCCATGGTCAGGATTCGTCGAGATGCAAAGCAGACAAGTATTGTAGATGTTTTAATAAAAGTTTTTTAATTCTTCCTGTGTCGGTAAATATGCGTTTAAATACCGGGATCACATTTTAAAGTCACATCTGAAAACGAAGCGGAGAAACAGAAGGGGTCTTCCCCTTCCACTTTCCGTCATAAGAGGACAGCGAGTGGTGGAAAAGTCGTCAATCAGCCAAGACTGGTAAATATTTAAATAAAATATTTAAATAATCTTTCTGTGTACGGTAAATATGTTTAAATACCAGTATCTCATTTAAGCTTAAACAGGGGTAGAGTGGAGGAGACAACGGGAGGGAGGGGCTGTTCCTTCTTCTCCTCATTTGAGCAGTGCTGAGGAAAATCACATCAAATTTATTTAGCAAGTACATTTCAAAACAGCAGTTGTTAGCAAAACTGTTTACCAATAAAAATCAATGCTACTAATTTAATGAATATTTATCTCATTTTACCGGTACTATTTGACTTCTGGTCACATGACCTGGATAAGACTTCTTGGTAATATTGACCCATATATAATTTTTTTAAATTTCAGTTACATAGGTGTTTGGCACTGTACTGTCCAGTGATTGTGCTTAGATAGTTGTTGTGTTCATGTTGAAGGTATAATGGTTGTAACCATGAGTCAGACAGCGAAGCTTCGTAAAGACTCGATCTTGCAGTCTGAGCGTGTGTCGAAAAGCAAGCTATATTCTGTGAAACTCCATCTGCTGGCTGATTCTTGTACTACAACAAGAAAACTGCACACACTGGGAACAGATCCTGACAATAAACAGTGGATGCCCACGGCTAAATAACCGGAGCGTCTTATTTATATACAAAATTATGATTTATCTTATATTTAATGTGTGGCTTAGAGACAAGTGCGTTTTGAAGCCCCAGAATTACGGAAGTTTATTTTCAGTTAATACAAAACAGCAGCTAAAGTGACAAATGCACCTCTGAAACCACCCCACAAATGTAGGACATTACATACAATATCAGACTAATCTGACAATAAGTTAGTGATACTACAGCTCTAAAATATTTTTGTCTGAGCTCATCTGTTCAAGATTTTGGATTTTGTTTAAAAATCTGAATGTTGATCAGTACCAACCTGGTCCTGAGGATCCATCTTGGTCATCATGCGGTCCTCCAGCAGATTAAAGGTCAGCACCTGCAGGACGTACAGCTGATGGGCCATCTCGTCATTGATGGGTGTGGTGCTCCGGATTACGTTCTGCAGGGCGAGGTAGACAAAAAACAAAAAGAGCAGATATTAAAGTTAAAAAATAGACTACATTTTGAACAAAGATGGACAATAAAAATGTTGATGTAGAAATAAATGACAAAGAGGTGAAGACAAATGTCAACTGAAGGAACAAGTTGGGAAAGAGTGATTTGATGCATGGGAGAAAAGGAAGTACCGGTAGGTGAGACAGGGAGGATTATAAATAACCATATATGTGATTTATTTTTATTTTTATGCTGATAACTGGAGTACAGGCTGAAACCAAAATGCAGACAAAGAGAAAAACCAAACAGCTGAGTGTAAAAATATAAAAGTGTGGCTAAACTTACGGTGAGAATGATGGAGCGCAGCTGCTTCTGGGCAAGAATGTGGGCCATCTCCTGCAGAACGAGGGATCCGAAGGAGGAGGAATAAGGATAGCCACAGACAGAATTTAAAAAGAGTAGGGAGAGAAAGATTAAGGTGAGATGATGTACATGTGCAAAATAAAAAAAATTAAGTTTTTAAGGTTTTTATAAAAGTAAAAGCGGGTGGGGAAATAAAAAGGCCACAGCATACTGCAAAGTATGCAGCTAACGGCTGTAGAAATAAAAAAAAGGTAAGCCATCCCAGAAAGAAACTTAAAAAGGGATACTAGATGCACTAATTGATGTCTTCTAAGGTGCAAACTACAAAGTGCTGATCAAGGGTGCACTTACTGTCAGGGGACAATTAAGGATGTCCACAATGTGCTCATCAAACTACCGTGTCGTGTGCAGTGAGGAGACAAGGTCAGAGACAGAGACAGAGAGTGAGTGGATGTGATGAGATTTAAAATAAAAAAATATGTGAGGAGGCTGGAAAATAATTTCTGTGTTGCAGTTAGAAGTGGTGTTGGGGAGGAAGGGTGGCCGAGTCAGCAGAACAAAGACAGGCCAGGGGATCATAATAATGGATTTTCTGATCACTGAGCTCTCATCACTTACGCACCCACACAGAAAACATATGAACCTTGTGTTCTCGCAGACACACATTGAAATAACATGTTCTGAAATATGCAACAAGTGATAGAAACACTTTTGTTAAGATCAAATGTTTCTGTAAATGTAAATTACAATATTTTTCGGACTATAAGGTAGGCCTGTCACGATAAAAAATACATCAATCTCATGATAAATGAAAATTAACAACCTCATTTTCATTTGTCGGCTTTATCATTTCTTCATGTCTCTCTCTTTCTACTGAAGACACTGGATGACAAAAAGCTCAACTCCGGTGCTCTTCACTGACCCCTCCCTTTCTCCCTTTCTCTTTAAAAGCCGTTTTAACCGTCCAAAATTGCGTTTCTGGATCGTTGAAAGCAGCCAAGCTGAGAACCTATGCTATGAGCTAAGCTAAAAGGCCGACCTCGGGAAAAAACCTCCTTCTCGTCGAAGCTCCAAAATTCACAGTTGAAACCCTTTGTGTAAAAAAGTTGTTTTTCTCTGCAAAAAGACGCTGAGAACTTGTCTAATTTTTTTAAAAGCTTTGTGTGAAAAATGCTACACTAAAGAGCTCAAACCACACCGAGCGTCCACCATTATGAGAACCGAAGAGAGACAGCCCATGTCACATCAAGGGGCTTCCCTCCCTGCTCGCTCCCTCACTATCCATCCTTCGGTTCAAACAGTCTTATAATGCCATCTGGTGGTCGAAAAAAGGTACTACACGCAAAACAAATTATACATTTCTTCTTAAAGTTGACCATAATTACTAATTATTGTCAACTTTCTAACAATATTATCGTTTATCGCAATAATTTCTGAGACGATCACCCAGCAAAATTTGCTATCATTACAGGCCTACTATAAGGCACACTTAAAATCCTTTAGTTTACTCAAAAATCGACAGTGAGCCTTATAATCAGGTGCGCCTTTTGTATCAATTCTGGTTGTGCTTACTGACCTCGAACCAAATTTATGTTGTTATTGTGAATGAGTTGAATAAAGTTAGACTTTTCTGACTGTTTTGTTTTACTTAATGCACCTTATAATCCGGTGCACCTTATAGTCCGAAAAATATAGTACTACATGTGCTTTAACCGGAGCTGAGGGAGATGGTCCCACACCAGCGCTGCAACATGGGGAAAAAAAAAAATAAATAAATAAATTATATATATATATATATATATATATATATATATATATATATATTAGATGTGTATGCAGGAGAGCTGTGAAGCTCATTTCTGCTTTGGCAGGTCTTCAATTTCGTGTTCTACAGAAGACAGCAGCTGTGGACTTCCATTATTCATAATTAATGTTAAAGCGCATCACTGGGCCCAGTGGTGCTGACGCAGGGATCATGTGATTAGCTACAAGGGAACGCTTGACATATGTGAGAAGTCAGAGACAGGAGCAGAACCGAGCAAAAAACATCAACTCTGCTGAGAAGAAAGGCAATAAAAATGTATTTTAATACTGGATTCGATTGCAAACGATGCCAGAATACAACCCTACACACACAAGCTTCACTTTTACAGCCTCACCTGTCTCTTCTCCTCAGGAGCTTTAAGGAACAGAGCGTTGATGACAGCTATGGTGTAAGTCTGGATGTCTTGATCAGTTCTACAAAAACAAAAACGAACACCATCATCCATATTAGTGCTTTAAAAAGATCAAGTCAGCATATTTAATATTCACACATGTGATCCATCCACTCACCCTTGAAGATGTGGAATGAGCTGTCCAATGGTGATCTCTTGGGCCACCTTGTGGTAAAGATCCTGACTGTTGAGGACCATGGACTCCAGGATGGCCAGGGAACGCTGCAACACTGCTGTGTCCATGGCCGACTTGTTCACAAAGCTGGCAATCTTTAAAAACAACAGAGCAAAAAAGATACTTTAAAAAGGTGGAGCACAAAACAGAACCAGGCACACAAGCAAAAAATAGGTCCATTTTTTAAGACTTATAATAACCAAATGCCTGAAATGTTGATTTTCTTACATCTACAATACAAGTACAAGACAAGGCTCTGTGCAAAAGTCTTAGCATATGTAAAAAGGTGTAAATGTGTTCAGGAACATACATTTTATGTAGTTTTATTAACTAAAAATACAAATTGAGCAAATTAAAGATCTAAATGAAATCAGTATTTGGTGTGACCTTTCTTTGCCATCAAAACAGCTTCAATTCTTCCAGAAATACGAGCACATACTCGCACGTAGTTTGTTTAAAGCATCGTAAAATAAAAAATAAAAAATAAAAAAACTGATCTTTTGAGGCTGCAGGTCGTTTGAAATCCTTCTATCTCTTCTTTATGCAGTCTTTGACTAACACGATCATGTTGAGATCAGGACTCTGAGGGCCTCATCACTTCCAGGACTTCTTTATGCTAAGTTCATAATGTGTGTTGTATGTTTCAGATCCTGCAGCAGAATAAATTTGGGGTAAATCAAACACATCTCTGATGATTTTGGTTGATTCATAACTATTTGCTTTTCTTAGGATTGAGGGATCCAATAATTTGACCAAATCACATACCAGCTTGGGCAGCATGGTGGCGCAACTGGTAGAGCTGCTGCCTCTCAGCGAGCAGGTCCCTGGTTCAAACCCCGGTCCAGGGGTCTTTCTGGGTGGAATTTGCATGTTCTCTCCGTGCATGCGTGGGTTTTCTCCGGGTGCTCCGGTTTCCTCCCACAGACCAAAAACATGCATGTTAGGCTGATTGGTAACTCTAAATTGTCCCTAGGTGTGAGTGAGAGAGTGAATGGTTGTTTGTCTCGTTTGTCTCTATGTGGCCCTGTGATGGACTTGCGACCCGTCCAGGGTGTACCCCGCCCCTCGCACAGTGATTGCTGGACATGGGCACCAGCGACCCCCGTGACCCAAAATGGAATAAGCGGGTAAAGAAAATGGATGGATGGATGGATGGATGGACATATCAGCTTGCAGAACTGCAGCTTCAGATCAAAAATGCTTCACTGCTGGCAGCACACACGTCACTTCCCCTCTATCCAGTTATGTGGCTAACAAAATGCCTTCTGCTACAAGCATTTCCAAACTCGACTCATCAGTCTCGAGCACCCTGCTGTCACTTTTCTGCACTCCATTTATTTTTTGTGCATCTCAGGGTTACTTGTGTTTCCATGCCATACAGATCACTCCTGCCCAGACCTCTCCAGGCAGTCGGTGGGTGTCTGAGCTGATGGTACTGCTGGACATCTTCTAATTTCAATTTTCTATCTGCAGCATTGATTTTTCTTGGAAAACCCCTACATGGTCCTCAACACTGCTCTTTTCTTTGTGCTTCTTAAAAGATCTTAAAAACCCCAGTCTGCTTAGAAACCTTTCTTCTAGATAAATTTATGATTGGTATGTGATATGAAACACCACAACCATACATGGGCAGTGAAGTGTAGCTGTTCCTCAGACAGTTTTGAGGCCTCCTACAAAGCTGTATCTGCTTCAGGTAATGACTATCAAACTGTATATGAATAAGAAGATCGACAGTACAGACTTTGTGCATGTGCACCTGGAAAAAATGATGCTGTTTTGATCTGTGGTCACGCCAAATGCTGTTTTGATTTACTTGAGCCAGAAAATAATAATCATAAAAATAATGAAAGTACAAAAGTGACTGTGAAACTCAAATCGTGTCAGTTAATTAAAAGCATATTCCATCCACTGCACAGTCAAATAACAGCACTAGGTGCATGCTCATCTTAAATCCTCGGTCTGCTTAATGTGACATTTTCCTGGCTGACCTTCTTGATGAAGGCCACAGAGAAAGTGTCCCAGGAGATGATCCCGTGATCCATCAGCTCAACAAAGGCCGTTAGAGTGAAGGAGAGCAGGTCACCGAAGCTAGACGACAACAAACACACACACACAAACCATAGGAAACTTTTTCTCTACCAGATGGCTCGGGGGGATGTAAAGCTGCAAAGCCCAGATGGCTTGGAATGCAACAAGAAGCCGGCAGTCAGCAGAGAAGACAGAGAGGACAAAAAGTGGCAAAGAGGAAAGGACAGATGAATAAAAGCACAAAGCTGCAACCTGGATTGCTGCAAAAAAAACAGAAAATGAAAACGGAGACAAGATGAGAGAAGGGAAACAAGAAGAGGTTTGAGATGCAGCACAGAAAGAATGAAGGTCAGAAAACAACAGGTGCCGTCAGGAGGTCAACAGGATCTGGGTGATGTTCACTCAGGACCAGAGAGCTACAGAACAAGGTGACGTCATGCAGTTACACAGATATAAGCAAAAAATAAACACCCCTGAGAGCCACAGAAGGAAGAAACAAACTATAAAGGTGTTTATTAGGAATATATCCAGGAATAAGCATCTCCTAGCCCAATATTCAAGACAAGAACAAAACTCATGCTACTTGTGTTTTCAGCCAAACTGGTGCATTAAGTTGAACAACAGACTTAATTTGAACACAGAACCTCACAGGGCTCTGTTACAGTGTTAATACTCAAAGAGCATTGGTTTAACAACTACATTTTACAATGCTGACCTCTACTGGTCAAAGGCAGCACTACAGAATAGATCTGCTGAGAAGCATGTATTAATACGTTATTTGTGGCTGATCGGTGTAGATTCTATTTAATGGTTATATTTTAATTATGTCTGTAAATGAAGCACCCCCTCCCCTTTCACCACAGGGTTAATAAAGAAACAAATATGTTTATTTTATTTTTTACTGATTTATGTCTATTTTTCGGTTTTTGGTTTATTTTCTCATTCTTGGCACAAAGTCGAATGTGTTCTCAGTGCGGGTTGGACTCCGCCAGGGCTGTCCCTTGTCTCTGATTTTGTTTGTCCTGACCATGGACAGGATCTCAAGACGCAGTCGTGGAGGAGGGTGTCTGGTTTGTGAAGCTCAGGGTCTCATCTCTGCCTTATGTGGATGATGTGGTTCTTTGGGAACCTTCAGGCCAACATCTTCAGCATGCACTGGGGCAGTTTGCAGCAGAGTGTGAAGGATGAGAGTCAGCTCCTCAAAGTCTGAGGCCATGGTTCTTGACCAGAAAGGGGTTTGATCTCAAAAACCTGGAAATGGGTGGAATGCCCTCTCCAGGTCATGGGAGAGAGTTTGCCTCAGGTGGAGGAGTTCAAGTATCTGGGCGTCTTGTTCACGAGTGATGGTAGGATGGAGTGGGAGATGGATCAATGGATTGGGGCCTCATCCTCAGTAATGAGGGCGTTGCTTCAGTCAGTCGTGGTGAAGAAAGAGCTGAGTTGAAATGCAACGTTCTCTATTTGCTGGTATGTCTACGTTCCAACCCTCACCTATGGTCATGAGGTTTGGATTGTGACTGAAAAACGAGATCACCGATACAAGCGGACAAAATGGGCTTCCTTAGCAGGGTGGCCGGGCTCAGCTTTATTAATTAGATGAGGAGCTCCGTCATCCTGGGGGAGCTCAGGGTTGAGCCACTGCTCCTCTGCATTGAAAAGAGTCTGAGGTTGCTCGGGCATCTGACGAGGATGCCTCATGGACGCCTCCCTTTAGTTTTCTCAACACGTCCCTCTGATAGGAGGCCCCGGGGGAGACCCAGAAGTCGCTGGAGGGATTGTGTATCCTCTCTGGCCTGGGAACGGCACGGGGTCCCCCAGAACAAGCTGGAAAGTGACGCTGGGGAGAGGAATGTCTGGGTCTCTCTCCTGGACCTGTTGCTGCAGCGACCCGATCACAGATAAGCGGTAGAAGATGAATGGATGGGTAGACGTTTAATTACTACCTGGTGCTGCATCAAAAATCATATCCAAGTGAACTTCCAAATGTCCTAAAGTGAATATTTTTATTAAATATTAAAAATGTTATGCCTGATGGCTGAATTAAAGGAAAATGTGTTTATAACAATAATAATGATGTTAAAATGTAAATTGTTGTAACTTTATCAGCTTGGTTCACCAAAGAAACCTGAAATTACAAGAAAACCTTAGTGGTCTTCCCGAATATTCTTATCTAAGCAGTAAATATCATGCATCAGTTTTTGACTGCTGATTGGTGAATGACCTCGTAAAATATTAGTAACCCACAACTGGAAAACAAGGAGGTTGTTGCAGACAATACTAGGCATTTAGACAAACTACACAAAGCAACATTAAATCATAGAAGAGAGGAACAAGATGATGAACAAGTTCAGGCAAATAAAAGACTTGTTGAAGAAGGATGATGAACCTGCGGTGATAAAGGTTATTAACCAACAGGGTAAAGAGAAGAGCTCAAAGAAGAGTTTAGACACCACCTTCACTATAAAGAACACCAAGATTTAAGTAAAGTCCAGAACTGATATTTAACTGAAGTAATAATTGAGTCACATCTACATTTGTGTTGCTTCAAATAGATTTTTTAAATGTACATTTAGCTAAATAAATCTTGGTCTTCTTCAATTTCTTTTGTTAAATCCGTTACCCAAAACCACATGCAAGAAGAAAAAATAAAATTCAACACTGATTTCAAAACAGAAGCCTGAAAAAGGTTGTGACAAGATTCACTGAAGGCATGGAGGCAAGAGTCTTCATCATGCAGACTTAACCAGCGAGGTTAGGAAGAGCAAAGAGCCGATGACGTTACCCAGCCGAGTGGGGAGGAACGGGAGAAGGGAGGACTTACCAAGGCTTCATAATTTTCTGTAGTTTCTGATAGCGCCTGCAAAGATTAGAGACTTTGGTGTTAAAGAGGTGGAACAACATAAAAAATTAAGTCTCATCCAGTTGAGAGCAGGAAACACTACAAATCTAAACATCCCTGAAAGAGATCAGACTCTTCTACATTACAGTATTTATTGGATTATAAGGCACATTAAGCAAAACAAGTCAAACTTTATTCAACTCATACACAATAACCACATAAAATCGGTTTGAGGTCAGTAAGCACAACCAGAATTAATACATAAGGCGCACCTGATTATAAGGCTCACTATCAATTTTTGAGAACATTAAAGGATTTTAAGTGTGCCTTATAGTCCGAAAAATACGGTAAATCAAAGGAACTTTGATTATGATTATTAAAACATGTTCACTGCAATCTACACAAAAAGCCCCAGCTGAAATACTGACAGCATCAGTTATACAACAACAGTAAACTCCAGTTGACATGATACTGGATCCAGGTTTGCAAAATTCACGTCACATGAAAGACAAGTCATCAGAAAACTAGAGATAAACAGAGCTCAGTTTGCTCAAAGGGAGTTCAACAGATGGAAAAATAACACATTCAGGCTGGTTTGTACATTTGTCAGGGGCTTCTGGAAGTGAAGATTAAAAAAAAAGCAACATCAAAGTAAAATCCAGTTTTATCTGGTGAACAACTGAAACCTAAAGGACGAGATAAAGATAAAGCTGAAGAGCTTTGATCAATATCACACCTGGATCAATAAGACCCAACTCTTAAGAAAGATTACCATTCAAAATAAGGAAAAACGGGGGGGGGGGGGGGGGGGG